CTTTGAGACAGCCTACTTCAAATGACTACCAAACGTGAACTATGCGTCCTTTCTGGCTGAAATTTGGCCTGAAGGGATTCGAAGAATGAATCTTTCGAGATGTCGCGTCATCAAATGGATTGTAGCGCCATTTCATGGAAATTTACCAAATTTATCAAACGACTCACATACATACACACACACACACACACACACACACACACACACACACACACACACACATATACATATACATATATAGATTAGACCCCTCACTTTGACCGCACTAATAAAAATTATTTCGCTGCTTAATTTATTTCCATTTTCTTCCATTTTTTTACATAAAATTATAGTTATGTTAATTGCAAAATAATCAAATTGCACGATTTGAATTTTTTCGGAAAAAAAATATTTAAAAAAACAAAAAAAAAGAAAGGAAAAAACTGCAAGGATGATAACATGCAGTTGATTATTGTTCAATGATAATACAATTATCTTCGGAAAATGTACGGTTAAGAGGACGATTTATTTATATTAATATCTGGATAGTAATTTTAGGGAATCATATCTTCTCTTTTTGGCATTTGTCACATATGAGCTTTGTGTGTATGTTTTACAATCTTCGATTTCGTATCGTTACATCGTGGAAATTATTTACGCCTTGACGCGCAACGCGTGATTTTTTATTTTATAAAAATAAGAGAAGATACAAGTAAAAAATTAAATATTTCACATTTTTTCGCCTATTATTAAATATATTAGCATATATTTAAAAAAAAATGTGTTTTATCAGATTTTTTAGTGAAATAATATCCCAAAAAATATTTCTGATTATTTTTTAAAATTTGTACCTAAGGTAAATTTGAAGAACTAGAAACTTTAAAAAAATTGGAGCATTATACTTCAAAATAAAAATATTAAATTTTTTATCATTATCGTTAATCTAACTTCTAACCTCTAATATTTCAGAGGTAAACATACATACATAGAATGGCACAAGATTGCATTTAGATTCATAATATACGCAATATACACAAAACATAATTTTTTTAAAATTAAATATTAATTGATTTTTTATTATACGTTATGATTTGTTTTGAACGTAAATACAATTCTATGTTTTTCTAGGCACATACACCTACCTAAACTAACGTGTTAAAGATTTGATAATGTCTGGAAGATTAAATATTTTTATTTTTATTTTAAGTATAATGAATTTTTTTTTTTTTTTAAATCTCTTGAGATCTCTAGTATATCGAGTTTATTAGCTAGTTTTAAAAAACGCGTAAGAGATTTTAATCTCTTTTTTTTTTTAAATCTAGTGATAAAATATTTTCGAATTTCATTCAACGTCAAAGATTATAGGAAATCTCTTTTTTTCTAGATTTTTTAATATCTTTTTGTTATTACAAAATAAAAATATTTTATGTCCATATTAGAGAGAGAGAGAGAGAGAGAGGGGAGCGGGGAGGGGAAAGAGATTATATTACATTTTTATTTAAATAATATTAATATTAATATTTTATATTAATAAATTTTATATTAATAAATTTTCTTTTTTAGACTGCAAATTGTTGTACTTTTGTTATTAAAATATAACAATTTTTTTCATATACAAAAAGAGAGAGAGAGAGAGAGAGAGAGAGAGAGAGAGAGAGAGAGAGAGAGTGAGAGAGAGAGAAAGAGAAAGGGATATTATTACACATTTCTATATTACTCGTAAAATGATATTAATATGGAAAATCATAAAGTGTCATTATGATAAAAATACTTTCTTTCATTAATAGCTCTATTACTTCTTAAAAATAAATCAATTGGAAAAATAGCTCTTCCGAAATATATCTACACGAATATATCTACATTTTCCTGATTGCCTTGATTACATTGCATAATAATGACAGAATGTCACAGATCAAACTATTTCTTATATGATGTTCGTATGACGTTATTATGTCATGTTGATTCTATATAAGTTTTCTCTATTAAAGCGAGTACAATGCTCTCTCTTTTTTTGCAACGTAATAATTATGAAATAGATGTAACTCTGTTTATCGAAGTTTCTGAAAACGATTATAAATGTATGTGTGATTATTGTATTCAAGATACATATATGTGGTTCATACAAACCTTCATGTTTTTTTATGACTCATAATTACAATTATCCGTGTTGATCGCGTGCTTTATGATATTTTGAACATAAATTATATGAGATTTTATATCCCCGTTTCAAACAAGAAATAAGATTACATGTCTACTTTGTTGACAGAATTAAGAAAAAAATATGTAACTGCTCAATATGAATAAAATTCAAATAATATACAATAAGGGTTTTATTGAGTCTAGCAAGATAACTATAATTGAAATGCTTTATTAAGCTTCATATAAATAATGTTTCAAACATTTCGACTTTTTCCCAAAAAAGTCCTCTTTAGGTCCTCTTTAGTGAATGTTTAATATGATTTTTACATAAGATTAAACTGTATACTTGTATACATGTATTGTACTTGTATAGATTATTATCTATTCCATAAGCCTATAGTGAACTTATTTATGTAATGATCCTAATGTCCATAAACTCAACTTAAATAGTCCCAATACGATTGTTGTTTGACAGAATTTTCAATATCTTCGGTAGAAGCGACAGTCGAGAACATGATTGGATGACCATGTACATAATGATTATATTATGATATGAACATTATTCTATTATAAAAATATAATATAAATGTAATGTATTAATATAAAATATAAAATATAATATATAAAATATATAACATAAAATATAATATATATGTAATGTAATTTGAATAAATCGTATACTTATAGTATATACTTTTAATATAATTACTATATACTTATAATATAAAATAATATATTGTGTTAATCTGTTAAACTCTTCGATTTATCGATTCTTCTATCAAAAATTGTCGTGTGTCATTTCGTAAACATTACTTCACATTGAACTTACATGTATTATGTTATACTTTCTAACATATACAAAGGGGTGGAAAAATGTATCTAAGTAGGATACAATAGTTTCAAAACGGGAAGATAACTATCTGGTAATAGCTTTATGTCGCTTTGTCTATTCAAACCTGATGTTTGTTTTTATATATATCATTTCGGACACCGTTCTTTTTACATATGAGGTCTCGTTGTTCAATATGTAAACATTATCCCAATCGAATTCATATTGTTCATTCATTCTGTGTTCTGATAAGTGACGGGGAGCCATTTTTTTTATTTATATCTTTTATTTATATGTTCTTTAATTCTTGTTTCCAATTGTCTTTTTGCCTGTCCCACGTGTGTAGATTCAGTCAAGGCAATCAATTTTGTAAACTACATCACGTCTAAACATTTTATTTAATATATCTTTTCCTGGTTTTATAAAGTTATTTAATTTTCTGGGAATAGTGAATGATGTATAATAGTTCATTTTATTAGCAATAGTAACAAATTTATTCGATATTTGTTCAACATAAGGTAGTAAAGAATTTTTGATAAGATAATATACCATTTATTTTATTGTTTTATTATTATTATTATTGTTATTATTCTTGTTAATGTGATATATAATTCTGTTATTATAGTCCTAAAAATAAAATTTATTGGCTAACAATTTAATAGTAAAATATTAATTATATTCCTAATATTTTTAAAATGAAATTTTGGATGTATTATTGTCATTATTTTATCTATCATTTCTATGATGCCCTTTTTATGTGCTATTGAGTGAATAGAAATTTAAATATCTATCTGATGCTGTGTCTTTTTTAAAAATATCAAAAATAATATGTTTTTTATTTCTAATTAATTTAACGTCTAGAAAGCTTAATTGTTTGTCATGTTCTATCTCCACTGTAAACTGTAACCATTCATGTATTGAATTAAAAGTCATTATCTGTTTCATCTACTTTGTCATTAGGAATAGTCATTAAAATATCTTCTAAATATCTATAAAAAAACTTCAAATGATACTTTGTTTAAGGCCAATGTTTCCATATCTTGCATAATTATATCAGATATTAAAGATGATATCGGAAATCCTATAGGCACATCCATAAATCTGTTTATAACATACTTCATTGAAAATGAAATAAGTCGAGTGTAATATTAAGTTTATATTTATTTTAAATTTATCCAATAGTATTTTTATGTTATTATTATGATGCCATCTTTTTTCAATGTCTTTTATAGCTAGTTCTATCGGCACATTGGTAAATAATGCTATTATATCTAATGAAATGAGAATGTGTTCTTTATTAATATTAAGATTATGTAATTTATCCACAAATGTCTGCTATTTTTTATAAAACTTTGTACTTTGTATAAACCTTTGGGATACTATCACCTATAATTCTGTTTAAATAAACATACAAATGTATATAGCATACAAATGTATGAGCTATTGACAGTTGCAATTATGATTCTCAATAGAATGCCCTGCTTACGTATCTTGAGGGTTACCGTATGCTCTAGGTAAAATAGTCATCAGTTGTTGTCAATATATTATATGTCATTTGATCAACGTAACCTTTTCGTTTACGTCTGATAATCGATTTTAAATCTTTCGTTAATTTGTTAATTAGATTTTTTGTCTTATTTTATATATATTGATGTCATTAAGCATGGTATCTTTTCATTATAATCATAGAATTCCCTTTATCTGCTCTCGTGATTAATATGTCAGAATGTCCTCTAATTTTTTTGTATTAGACATTTCAAAATAAATTTTTTATTTTCATCTAAAGTAATGACTGAGGCATACCTTATATATGATGGTTATTGATTCATTCCTTATTTTTTCATTCGTATCATTAGTTTATAAATATTTCTTTCTACATGTTTAATGACTTTTATGATCATTCTTTCTCTTTCATTTTCAAACATATAAATCAAATTTATCATCTAATTGAAGGCAATTGCAAATACTTTTCATTGCGAATCTTCACTTTCTATTCCACTTTCATATATAATTCATTCCCTGTATAAGTCATTTTCTATAACATGATCTTCCATTTCAGAATATTCATCATCCGGTGGTGCTAAAAATTCTAAGTCTTTTTCATTTGTTATATTGTGAAGTATACAACATGTATCACACCGATTATTCTGGCAATATCTCTTAATTTGAGGTGATATGACTGCCGAAATTGTTTAAGAATTCTTATATATTCTCTATTTTAATACGGAGAACAAGAATTTAATTTTCTATTAAATGTTCATTGAGCACATGTTAAATGCCCATTATCTCTGCATGGTGCCATTAATCTTTTCAAATAAAGGTGCGCACTATCTCCCCAATAATTATCTGCAACGAAAACAAAAATTATAACGGAATAAAAAAATGATATTAAGCATTTAGTATTAAAAAGCAAACAAAAGTGATAGCGAAGAAAGATCTGAGAACTATAACACAGTTTATATACAGTGTACAAAAATACTAATATTTATTTCATATTTACTTTACTTGAGACATTTGTTTTTTAAAAATTATAACAATCAAATATCAAATGGCATTTTTTATAATTCACGTTTTATTTGTTAATTTACTTCACAGTTCAGATCACGATATAATGGCGAATTTCAAAATAACCTGGTATCATGCACTGATTCTGGATATCCAACAAATATATCTAAAAATTTCATTCTATGATTTACTGTCCCTTGAAGATGTATGGAAAAATATTGTTTTCGATTTATGTAAGAATTGAGATCTTCAGCAGGTCGATCTATTCTAACATATGATTCGTCCATTGCATCTAAAAAGATATGAATATTTTAATAAGATATATCTAAATTCTAATGTATACAAATGTAGAGTATAAAAGTTTAGGAATATTACCAATAACACCAGGAAATCCTTTTGTATTTTGATAAAAAGCAACAGTGCTTTTTTAGTTGCATTTGGATTGTATCATTTGCTAAAAATAAAATAAACTCTTGTAATTATATTGTATAAAGTACTTAATGCTAAATCTATCGGCGACATTACGATAGGATGCGCTTTCGTGATCTACAAATCAAAGATAGCAGAGAATATACTTCTTTACTGTAATCTTCAAATGTCCTACTTCATCTGTAAAAAAAATCGCATATTATTAAGATTAGATAAGAAGATAGAAGAAAAAAAACTACTCTACAAATGTATTTAGTTAAAATCGGGAAAAGAATTTTATTAATTGATCAGTCAAAGGATGTTTTGAAACATTTATAGCATCAAGTAGCTCTTGAAAATAAGATAGAGATTTATTTTAAAATTTTGCAAATGAGAAAATGTATGTGCATAATTATGTATATATCGTAAAATAATATACCTTGCAGGAAAGTAAATATTTCAGAAATACTGAATTAATTTATTAATCTATATGTTACTTTTCTTAATAATCTAAAACGCATGTCTATATGGTCATAATTTCTAATAATATTTTCCACATAAATATTTTGATGTGTTCTATTCTTTGCAACATTCCAAAAATTAAATCAAATACTCGTAATTCATTATGATCTAAAATAATTATTAGGTTAAGTTAGATTTATTTATTGTTCAGAAACTTTTGGATTGTAAGTTTTTAAATTAATTATAAATTACCATCGTCTTCATCTATAATTGGTGATTCTAGTGGCGGAGATATTAAAAGAAAATCATCTTTTTCAGATGATTTCCATTAATTCTAAATTTGCGATGTTTCTCACAATATGATGCGTCATATTGGTTACTACACTATTGCTTTCTTTTTGTTCTTCTGTTCTCTTCTACTTGTGAAGATATCGGCTGTACTGATCTGTCCTAGTGCAGTTTCAGTGTAGTCCTAGTGCAGCGAAAAAGAACTAACCTATCGGATAAAGAAATTAGATGAAGAGTGATAAATTCAATATAAGATATTTGAATTTTTTATTTGAAAAATATAGCAAAATATTAACATGTCTGTACAATGAACAATAGTAATAATGAAAGAATTTTAAATCAATGTTTTTATGTCTTCTTATGTTTTTATATTTCAATTTGCATATTAATTTTAAATTAATACTACGACACAATAAACATATATATAAATACAGATAATGAAAATGTGAACGCAATGAATAATGAAATTGAAAATGAGTACACGCAAAATATCAATATATTTAGTAAAAATATGACTATAAACGAAAACGTATGCTCTACAAATATCATAACACAAGCGAGCGAGAATATTACTCTTAATTTACAATAAATGAAATACATATAATCATATATGTACTCTATTAATACAAATTTTATCAATGTAATTAAGAAATATGCATGTTTTATTTATCGAATAAGAAGCAGAGAAAGGAACTAGGAAGTGCGGGACGAATGCTGCAAAAATATGAAGACTATTTAAATATTTATAGAGGATATTCTATGTGAAAATAATATGAAAGTTGAGAGACATAGAGAAACTATGTCTCTCAACTGACCTAATACTAGCAAATACGCAAAATATATGAAGATATTGCAGAGACAAAGAAGGAGGAAGAAGAAAAGACTAAAAGAAGGATTTACGCCAGCAAATAAACTTAAAGAACAAAATAAATTTTTACAAGATCTCATCTTAAAAGAAAAAAAGAGGAGAGAGAATAAGACTTATAAGAGATTTATTACAAAATAGGCTAAAGATAAGTGTTAAACTATGTTATTACACATTATGTTATCATGCATTAAATATTTATATTATAATTTTTCAGTATATTAATGTTTTTATTTTATTTCTTATTTCTGATTTCTTAATTTTTGTTATATTTTCAGATATAAAAAAAGATAAAAATTAAATTTATAAAAATATATACTTGCATTCTTATATATAAATTATTGAGTTCAGTTAGGTTTAAAAATAATGATTTGTCATACAAAAATTAAAACTTGTAAAAAATGAAATCAAAGTTTTATTTTAATTAACTATTTTTTTATAATATATGTTTAAAATGGAAACGAAAAATTTATATTCGTTATAAATTTTTTTTAATAATAAATTGCCTTACTATAATCATGATTATTCATTCAGCTATTTGTCGGCATATTTCATTGCGAATATCCATGTTTCCTTTATAATTTATTTTCTATAACATGATCTTGTGCTTCTATGTCAAGATATTTATCACCTCAAGACAATGCTTCCTGACATAAAAATAAGGTTCTCAAAGCTTTACAATAAGGAAATTAATTTTCAGTTTCAGAAATGGGATAAACCATCAATTATATTATAACTACTCCATAGTTTTAAACATTGCAAGTCTATTTCATTTGCTATGTTGTAAAGTATACAACATGCATGTATCACACCGACGGTATCTCATAGCTTAAGGTGATATAACTACCATTGAATACCATTGAAATCGTTGTTTAAGACATCCATATGCATTTTCTATTTTAACGTCAAGAATTTAATTTTCTCTTAAATGTTTATTGAGCACATGTTAAATGCTCTCTGTACCATTAATTCCTTCAAAATACTATTTCAACAAATGATAATTATCTGCAACAAGAATAAAAATTAAAACGGAATAAGTAAATGATATTAAGCTCTCAGTATTAAAAAGCAAACAAGATAGCCATTGCAAGGAAAGGCCACTGAGAACTAGTAACGCAATTTATATTAACGTATATAATAATTTCAATATTTATTTCATATTTATTTTACTTGAGACTTTTTTTTAAAAATTATAACAATCATCAAAATTATAAATATCATTTGGCATTTTTTATAATTCACGTTTTATTTTCTAATTTACCTCCACATAGTTCACGAAGATCACGATATAATGGCAAATTTCGAAACCCTGGCATCGTGAACTGATCCTGGGGATCCAACAAATACATCTAAAAATGTCATTCTATGATTTACTGTTGCTTGAAGATGTATAGAAAAATATTGTTTTCGATTTATGTAAGAGTCGGGATCTTCAGCAAGTTGATCTATTCTAATATGTGATCCGTCTATCGCTCCTAAAAAAATATGAATATTTTAATAAGGTATATCTAAATTCTAAAATATACAAATTTAGAGTATAAAAGTTTAGGAATATTACCAATAACACTAAGAAATCCTTTTATATTTTGATAATAAGTAGCTTCTGATAATAATAGCTTCTGCTTTTTTAGCTGCATTAGAATCTTGAATTGTATCATTTGTTAAAGATAAAATAAACTCTTGTAATTATATTGTATAAAGCTCTTAATGCAATGTCAAATCTATCGGCGACATCATGATAGAATGCGCTTTCGTGGCCTACAAACCAAAGATAGAGAATATGCTACTCTGCCGTAATTTTCAAATATCTTACTTCATCTGTAAAAAAATTACATATTATTAAGATTACGCTACAAATGCTTCGAAGCATTTAGTTGAAATCGAAATAAGAATTTTATTAATTAATCAATCAAAGAACGTTTTGAAGCATTTGTAGCATTAAATAGATCATTGAAAATAAGATAGAGCTTTATTTTGTAATTTTGCAAATGTGAAAATAATGTATGTACATATTTATGTATATCATAAAATAATATACCTTGCAGAGAAGTAAATATTTCAAAAACTTAAATTGATTTATTAATATATATGTTACTTCACTTGATATTATTATTATTAAATAATAACTATGATGGATGTTTCAAAATGGGCCATACTACAAGTTTCAAATAATGTGTTTTTCTATCGAGTTTTCAACATTTATTCAACGAATGTTAAACGTCTTGTGCCAGTATTGGAGCACTAATTTCCATGGCATTTGATTTTGTTGTAACCAGTGTATACTATCTTGTGTATCAGATCTTCGTTTATATATCTATTGACAAAAGAATAATTTACATGAAACAAAATGTAAGAAAATTAACGAAAAAATTGAATCACACTACAAAATATATTAAAACATTTAATATGATCTCACTATTTTCATCGGAATCACTTGTCGAATACATCAGTGTCATTGAATTTTCTTATTTTGTTGTTGTCATACGATTTCTCCACAGTTTAGTAATTTATCATGGGTTGGTATTGATTTTTTTACAACAAAATTATTTTACTTATTTATTTTTTATTTTTTATTTTAAATTAATCATATAAATTTTTTATCTTCTACAGCGATTTTATATTTATAAAATAAGTTTTTGGAATTTATTTTATTGGAGTGCTATTGTGTATGTGCACATATGTCATTGAATATTTGGACTTGTTTTGAAAAACTCAAATCAATGCTTATAATTGCAGAGTGTTTATTTTATTAATAATATTTTATAGTAATATTTTATTGATATCTTCATTTGATATGGTATCCGGTATTGTCGTTGTCTGGCATTGAAATTTGGTACTGATGTCTAAAGTTTTAATTTCATGAATGTACAATTTTCAAATGTTGTGTCAAAAATTCTATCTATTTATCATGTATTTGTTTTGAAATAGCATATACTGAACATTTAAAAGTCATACTTGTGCTTTCAAGAACCAATTATGATTGTATAAAGTAGTTATAGATGCGTTCCTGCAAAGAATATTATTATTGTAAATTATATTATTTTTAATTTGAAACTCATGGAATTGCTTAGCTCTATAAGTGTTCACATGCATGCGTGCGTGCAATATAAAGTAATGAAGATATTATACAAGAAGAATGTATTATAGAAAAAGTTGAAAAATAAATTCATTTGCATATTCTGTAATGTGAAATCAAAGCGCAAAATACACAAATTTATCAAATACGCAACAGTGCTATTCATGGCATGCATTTTTTCTACGTCCTTTAACACGGTTACACAATTTTTTTCTGTTTTTATAGCCTCTGTACGCCTCTGTTGAATTACATCGCAAAACATCTCCAAGGATAATTTTACTCGATATAATATAATATATATTATGTGCACTATATATACATATATTTTTTAGTAAAGCTTTCCTCGAAGAGGATGTTTTACAATGTAACTCAAGAGAGATGTAGATGTTATGAGAACAGAAAAATTATGATGTAAGAATGCACAAAAAGTGCTATGAATAGCACTATCGTATAGGTATAAGTATCTAAATTTAACGTTATTCAATGATTATCATGATGCGTTTTCTTTCGCATAAGATTCTTTGGCGTAATATTGCACATTACTTACTTCTTCCAAATTGGATAATTCGAGTTGCGATAATTCAAGGGATCCGTTCGTCCCGTTCACAATACGAGACAATCGCATTCGTGTTTTTATCAAGAAGGTCAGAGCAAATGAAAATGAAGAGAGAAAAACCCCGGAATCAAAATCTCATGAGTGAAGTAAACTCGCGAATACTTGCAACTTGCAGATAGTGCCATGTATTGGCAGCCTGGCGTGACCAATAGCCCCACACACATACACACACATACGCGCGCGCACACACACACGCGCGCGCGCGCGCACACACACACACACACACACACACACACACACACACACACACACACACACACTAGGCATGATTATAACTGTGTTCCAAAATTGATTGCCAGCGCTGCAGGTATGTCGTCATAAAAACATGCTAACAGCGTTTCAATTTTAGTAAGCATACAATTGGTGCGAATACATATTCAAATTCGAACGATACTCGCCATCTTGGTTGCTGCCTTATCTCTTCAGCTGCAGTAAGAAATGACGACAAAATTAGTTTTTACTTTCTTACAGCCATAGGCCGGTATTCATAGTCGAATCTTATATTTGAGACCGTCTTAAGTACGGTTTTAAGAAGTCATGGACCAATCAGAAGGCTGCATTGGACTTAAGACATTATTTGAGACGAAAATAAGAACTGACTATCAGCCATAGTGTGCTACGATGATTTTTGGAACGGTGTTGGCCGTGCTGCTAGTGCTGACAATCAATCAATTTTGAAACATAGTCTATGTTAAAGGGATCCTAAAGCAAAGCTCGAACTTCGACGAAATCACTAGAGGTCGCACCGCGCGCCGTACATCGCATATCTTTTTATACTACCACAGAAATATCTCACGCAACCTGTGATACACGCAATTACACGTACGTTAATTTTCGTATAACAAATTCGTCGCGATAAAGTGTCTAAGTCTAATTCTAAAAATTCTAAAAATTGTTTGTTCATGTAAACTACGTGTCTGGAAACCACTATTTCACAGGCTTTCATATTAAACAAATGTTATCACGACTTAACAGCTGAGACGTCATGTTACACTAAGAAATGATAAAAAATATATCAATTTTGAAATTTTTGATTGTTCTTGGCACTCTATTTTTCAGACACGTATTAATGCGTATACTTTAATCCTGGAAAAGGATTTTCGAATTGATGAAAGAGAAAAAAAGTATTTCTTATACAAAAATTATACGTGCTTACATAGTAAAACAGGAGATTTTAGAATCCCCTTTAGAGGGCATGTTATACATTGGAAAGGAAAATCTATAATATCGACCTCGATCTAATTCGGTCGTCGCGTCACTCTAATTGTTGAATCCTCACTTCTATTTTTTTCTTACTTTTGCAGCGTAAATCGCACTGTGGCGTATGCCAGAGTTACCTTATAATGTCCTATATTCTTATTCATTCAAGAACATCAGGTTTCTCCTTGCAATGATATGTTCTATTTAATAAAATATTTCATCGAATGGAATCTCAATATTTTTAAATATTTTCAAATAAAATAAATCATAGACATAAATCAAGACATATTTATTTATTCAAGAACATTAGATGCCTTATTGCAAATAAGTTTTTTGTTTCAACGAAATATTCATTTGAAAGTATTTCTATTTATTCAAGAACATCAGGCTTTCTCTTGCAATGAATGATTTATTTTGTTCCATTAAATATTTTGACGAACGCATTTCTTTACTTAAGAAAGTTACATTCCTTATCGCCAATAAATTATTTTCTTCGTGCAACAAAATATTTATTTAAAGATATTTTTACTCATTCAAGAACATCAGATTTCTTATTGCAATATGCAATATTGCAATGATTTCTTCCGTTTAATAATATATTTATTTGAAAGGATTTTTATTTATTTAAGAATTCATTTATTTATTCAAGTCATTCATTTTATTTCATTGTCATTTCTTACTGAGAACTTTGTACACACATCACATGTGAACGCATGTATATAGCATTCGTAAACTTTTATTATATTTCTATATCTTTACGACATTGCAGCAATCATCATTATTGCATGCGGACAGTATAATCCCACATGGCATGAAATATTCATGTCAACATTTTTGGAACAGGGAATTTGATTGTTAGAATCAGTAGAGAGAACACGAACTACGAAATACGCATGCTCATGCCAATAATGCCAACTGCATCTTACCAACAAAAAGTCAGAGAAATTAGAATCACCACAACTAAACAATTATAGAGATATATAAAAGAAATAAAATTATTAAATTACGTACTTATTTGTATTTTGTATTGCTTTGTACTAAATATTGAATATGTATTGATGATCAATACATTTAGAAAATATATTGACATACTAAAATTTCTGAAAGTGTACTGAAAAAGTACAATTGTACTGAAAAGACAGAACATCCCTGCTATCAACTGTGAAACGCGAAACATGGAGCGGTATTCATAATCTGTTTTTATTTTAAAACTGTCTTAAATAATATTTTAAGATGCTAATACAGTCCTCAGATTGATTTATGACAGCTTAAGACTGTACTTAAGACTTAAGTCTTAAATGTAAGAATTGACTATGAATACTGGTCTGTTTCGCGTCGTGAAATTGGTACTGAATCTTTCCTTGTTTAACACTTTATGTTTCTCTTTCTATAGAATGTATGTATATATGTTTATTAGTTTAGCT